TGGTTTTGAGGTTAGCTACCTTTATTTTGAGGTTTGTTTCATCAATTCATCATTGTGGAAATTATGACATGCCCCTATTTCTTGGTTTTGGCATTTTAATAGAAGGCGGACAAAATTATGACATAACCAATTGCTAGAATTTTTAGAACACTTCTATTTCAGTTCTCTGAAATCTTCTATTTGTTCAAGCTTCGTAGACTTCTCTAGCCAAGGCAGTGTAAAAATATCAGCCTAAAAATGAGATTCCCGAGTGCTCGTGTGAAATCGACTATAATAGGTGTTCCTCAACTCCCTTAGTCCATATTCACCGAAACTCCTTATTTAGTAAATTCGATTTAATTTTTCATTGTTTGGCTAACTGAAGGATTCATGTCATCACAAAGTCTTCGACTTGACAATCACAGTTGAGCAAACACCATATTGCCAAGTACCCGATCAATGTCATGGTTTGAATGTAATATATTCATAAATACAGAGCTTTCGAGTTTTCTCTATAACCAATTACTTTAGAGGAATAACTCAGCTTTATTGTATGCATATGCATATATATATATATATATATATATATATATATATATATTATGGGTATACAAATTCCATTTCTTAAGCTTGTCAAGAAGAACCTGTTATAGTCTAGGTGTTCGTTGAAGGTCAGAAAATCTCATCGTTAGAGTTTAATTTCCAAGCAACTTACCTAAACTAGATTCATCTGTGAAGATCATGATCATTCCTTTGAATGTCTTTCTACACCATTTTTAGGTTCTCAAAGATCTCATTCTTGGCTTTTTTCATCTCATCAGGAGCTGACATATTGTGATTAGTAAGATTATCCCGAGGATATAACACAGTTGCTTGTGTTTTAGTGGTGGAGAAGCCTACTTAGTGGCTTGGAAGTTTGTAGGGTGAAATGAGCATTTATGGATTCATATGTGCCATCACACATTCAGGGGTTTCTCTGGTCGAGGAAATCTTCTCTTTGCCTCTTTCTTGATTGATATCAGCCAGTTTTCCTACAATTTGGTCGACCAGGTTTTCCTGGTTTTGCAAAATGCAATCCACAATGACATTTTGCGCTTGCTTCATTTTAGCTTCCAACTTTGTTTGCATCCTTTGCAATTTCTCTTCCAGTTACTTCTTCAGTTTCTCAAATTTCACATCCATTTTTAGTATTGTGTGAATAAAATTGCACAGTTAAAAAAACATCCTCAGAGTACTCCACGATATAAACCCATGTACTCATGATTAATGCATATAAAAATATCTAAATGAATGCTATGCAGAATGCAAAGGTGCAAATGCAAAAAATGTTGATCACAACGGTGAATATCATAGAACAATTTCCACTAGAGATAAAAGCCTTCACATCGCAAGATAGGCCATTTTACAGACATTCTTTCGCTTATATGTTTTAGTCAGAAATGAGTCACAACTTCATGTCGGATCTTCATCCTTGAAAATGATGCCCCTAAAGTGCTTTGTAAGCTAAACTCCTTTAATGCCACGGCGGTGCAGAAGTCAGTGCATTGCTCCTTGATGACTAGCGATGGTACGATCGTAGATAAGACTCTACTACTGGATTACCTCTCTGATCAATGAATCATCTTTCTAGTTTAGAATATTGCATGATCTTCAAGCATGTTTCTTTCTGGTAGTCTCTGAACTTCTTTTAGCCTTCGATGCATGTATGTATATGTGACTGCTTGATTGAAAACTTTTATTTCTCATTGTGAAAATTTTCTCTTGAATATCCCCTTGCGGATCAATACTTTCGCATTATCTTATGACGATGCAATGCAAAAACAAGATGAAAAATGACACACATAAAAGAAAAGAAATAAGTTATTATGGGCAAGATAATCAATAATATTTAAAAAATTCTATATAAAAATAAATACAACACCTACCCAATCATGGTATCTACCCAAACACACTTTCATTAGATAGCAATCCTACCCGGATATGCTTTCTACCCACAATGATTATTTTCAAGAAATTGATCCTAACCGCATGATATCTAGTTCACATGCTTTTATTCAATAAAATTTAAAGCAAAATGTAAAGGTTCTGAAACGCTCCTCCTTTGTGTACACCTATTTTTGGCACCTACTGACTGACAAAGGTTTTGTATGGCTATACCTAGGGTGACCGTCCTACGGTTCACAACATGGATGGTTTTGGCTCTATAGGGAAAGGGTACTCGAATTATCCTTGATGTCGGTGCCCCCTTGGGTTTTCAAACCCTCAATCCTAACCCATTATAGGCATAAATGTATCGAGTTCAATTCGAAGGAATTCACTTATACACATACGAGGAATAAATCCCTACAAAGGTATAAGACATGTGTATCACAGAAATTATTTGCTAAGGCTCATACGAAGAATAATTTCTTACGAGAGCAAAGCGTTCACCCCACTTACTTGGAACGCATCTCGGGTCTAGAGCTTATGTAATGCAAATGCACGTGATGTGTGTGAGGAGAAACATACAAACCCTTGACTCTAAAGAAAAAAAAATCTCAATAGAAACTTGAACATTGTTGAAAACAAAGATTAAAATATTAGTATCATGATTAAAAATAAAGAAATTAAAAACTTCAATAGATGAATCATAAACTAACTATAGACTCAAACCCATAATTTTCACCACAACGATAATGTGTAAGCGACTTATAACCTGAATCACTAAAAGTCCCCATCGGAGTTATCAATCTGTCATAACAATTTTTTTGAAAAAAAACAATTAAGTTTAAAAAACAATTATGACTTTTTATTTGAAAAATTGTTGAAATTGAAAGGAGTCGCCATCGACCTTTGAGATAGGTAGGTCGAATACCGAAAAACGTCTTTTAAAACAATTTTAAGAAAAATCATTTTCTAAGACAAAAATTGGTCTACGTTTACCAAAAATATGATTTAATGGGTCCGAGAGTCGGTTTTGTGTGGGGAAGGACTAACACCCCTACAAAACCCAAAATTGGTACTTCGTCGCTTATACATTGTCGCAATAGTAGAAATTATGAATCGAATATAAAGTTAAATTAAGTTCCATGCATTGAACATTGATTAATTTATTTTGAATTATTTATTAGGGAAAATTCTTTAATTTGAAAAAAAATATCGAAATTAGCAATCCTCCATCGAGAAAACTATCTCATCTATTTCTTTGTCTAAAAAGAGTATTCCCTCCTCGATAAAAGCACGAATCAAATGTAAATTGAAAATCCACATTTTGCATACAACAAAATAAATTGCTATATACTTTATCATGTGTTACATTATTTGAATTAAAACAAATTAATTAGCGCTAAAAAATAACTTCGATTTATTTCAAGCTCTCATTTTGTTTGAATGTCATATCAGATTGCACTACTTCGATCAAGCAATGTTTTCCACGCCAATTCTACAAATCATTGTTCTTAAAAATATTCAAATAATATTTATAGATAAAGAAATGCAATGGAAACAAACGCGAATGGAAATATGTGAAATAAAATATTTGCAATAAATAGAGCCAATAATATTTATTTAACATAATACAAATAACCACATAATATGTAAAATATATCCATACATAAAGAACAAAAATAAAAACAAGTAAACATTACAAACCAAATTAAAATCACCAAAAATAAGTACTTAAAGGACTAAAATGGGATTAATAGAAACTTGAAGAACTGAAAAGCAATTATAAACAACCTAGAGCCACAATCGAACATATTAGACAGTATAAGTACCAGAAATGAAAATAATCCCTAAATAATGTTTAGGACTAAAATAATTTAAACCAGAAATATTGGGAGATCATTAATAAATTTACATAAACGCATTTATACAAAATAGTGACTGGAATGAAATATTCATAAATGTCATGGCCATATTCGAACATCAAAGAAAATAATATAACACATTGGGTTAGTGTCCAAAACATAATCATAGGAAACTAAAGGCCCAAAGTGGAATATCATCATATTTCAATTAATGGCTAAAACAAAATATTACAAACGAAGAATGACCTACACTGCTATTAGACCCATACGCAAAACACGCTGAAACCCCCCATATGCGACGTCATTTCGTGTGTGACATATAAGCCCGATTAATGGGTTGTTTTTCTTCATCCTCTTATTTCTGTTTGGTTTCTTAAGCAGAGGGGGAGAGAGGGGCCGCCGCTCGCCGGTGGCAATCCACGACGGCTCACTACCTTTAAAAAAACATCTCTATTTTGCCTAAAAAAACAACCTAGAACCCTATATCTAGGCCTTTACCTTTACAAAAACTTGAAGCTCCGACGACCCTTGGGCTTTCGACGTTCCTCCGACCAAGGTATGTTTCTCTCCTTCTATTTTTTTTGTATTTACTCTCTCTTACTTTTCATTTTTCATTTTTGAATCCTCTTTGTGTTTGTGTTTTTTTTCTCTGTTTTTCCTCCGAAAACTCTTCTCTCTTTTTTCACTCTCATTTTTTTCCTTTAAACTTGTTCCCCCTATTTAATCTAGTTGCATATCTATTTAGGGGTGAGATGTGGATGTGAGTGATATGGTGTCCTCGGGATACCATTGTACAAACAAATTTTTTATTTGTTTTCTTATCTGACCGATTTTCCTGGTGATGACTGATGGGTTGATTGATTTGGTGCAGGCAACCGACTGAGATGACTCTGGTAGGAGCAATAGTTGGCTGGATGGGATCATTAGGGTGAAAAACCTTAATCTCTTGGTTGCTAGTTGGGCTTCAGGTCTGGGCTTTTTTCTTGTGGGCTTCGTAGGATCTGGGTTGGGTATGGATCTGGATTCTGGGCTCTAGTTGGGTTGGATCTTGGTGTTGACTTGAACCGGTGTGCTGCTGGATATTGTAATCAGCCAGCTTCTTTTTGGGCCTAGTAGGCAATCAATTTGTAATTTGGGTTGAGTTTTGTTGTTGGGCTTCAGGTTTAGGCCTGCAAAAAAATATAATAAATAAATAAATAATAATAATAATAATTTAAGACCCGAACAAAAACGGGTGTCTACAGTGAGTACAGAATGATATATTCTTTCATCTTTTACTAAAGAATACCGTGTGTTCTCCACTCAAACCTCATATGCCAATTTCTGAAGGGTATTCCTCGTTGAATACCCCCAACCAGTTCAAGTTTCCAACTTATCATACTTTTCTAATAATATTTTGGACTAGTTGGGTTTTATGAAATATACTTCTAACCACATCATTTTCGGGTGTCATGTATTTTATGATATAACAGTGGTAGACCATCATTGATATTTGAAAGTGTCGGGAATTTATTTTTGGTTGGGCTGCGATTAAAGCTTCTCTCTTGGCGTTGTATTCAGTGGAACAATAGTGTGTTTCAATTGAATATTTTTATAGGTCAAACTTATGACGAGGGGAGCATATGTTATATGTTGTTTGCTGGCAGGGTTATCCAATACATTTGTTGTTTGCTGGCAGGGTTATCCAATACATATGTTGTTTGGGTTGTGTAGGTAAATTTCTGTCTTACCTTGGATATTTAACATTGTAGATATTGAAACTGTAAGACAACGCTTCAGGTGTCATTTAGCATGTAGTACTATTTAGTTGAAGGGAAGTTTACAGTAATAGAGGCTATCGCTTGTATTGCTTATTAATTGCTAAAAAATTAAAAGAGAAGACTCTATTACTTGTTTGAAGGCTTATATCACAAATACGTATTCAAAGTATTTTATTGAAAATAAAAATAAATAATCTCAAACAAAATAAATCCCCTATTTTCAAGTTCATCCAAATTGCTAAGATGATACCCAATCTATCATCGGTCACTACTCTTACAGCTTCAAATGCTTCACATCCAAGTGTATTTTTCATGAGAAGTATAGGCTTCCATGGTTGGCGGTAAGAGAGAAAAATAAAAGACGACTATGAAAATTAAGGTTTCCAAAATGAATAAATTGTGTAGAAAATATTATATTTATAACTTTCCCAAAGTAAAACTTGTCACCAATAGAAAAATCCCTATTTTTTCAAAAATTCATTTTTTTTAAATTGAAGCCTTTTTTAGCCTTGATATTATCCAAATAAAACAACTGGCCATTCTAGAAGATTCTCCCTAACCACATGGTGAGTCATCAAAAGCTACAGATTTGACTCAACAATCATGCTTCGTATTAGTGCACAACAACAACTACATCATCAGACAATGTCACAACATCAGCGTAACAACTCATAACAAAATGTCATAAAATAGCCCAAGAAATACAAACTCACTCTCAATATGCAAATGGCGTAAAATATACTAAAATAAATCTAAATATGATTCTAAAAATGCTTAAGTATAAGCTGAACCTAAGTAAAAAGTCCTAAATAATAACTCTTTTAGAGAGTTATCACACCCCGAAACCTAAGTGTTTGCTTTTTCTCAAGTAATGCATGACAACAACTTGCCCTCAGTAATTAAACAATATAACTCTTACACTTTCCTTGCACTTGTCACCTCAGAACCTTGGTAATTTTCTACCAATCACCTTCAAACCTCAAGATAACAAGAAATCATCTTATATCAACTTATGATGCTTGTGCGTGTGTGTACTCTTATTTATGACAATTCACCCCATGGGTATTTGAAGAGAATATCATAATTATCAAAGTAATTAATTAAACAAAAGATGTCACGACAATTAATATTTAGCTTAATTAGAGCTTTAGCTTATCACAACTACTGCCAACACTTGAGTAATATGATGGTACCACCGACGAACCCCCTAGCCTTTTAGGTAGAGTCATCTTGTTAAGACTTTCACTCACTTATGCTATTCGAGACTATCTTTCCTACTTAGTATTCACTAAGCATATTAGACTTGTCTTAACAACAGAGTGTCATAGAGCTAAAAGATTACCATGAACAATTTATTTGACTAGAGCAAACTGGGCACCTTTAGAAGTTCACACAGAACTTACACCATTTTTTTAAAACCTGAAAGATAACTAAATATTCTCAAAAACATCCATAAGTCAACCAAGCATGACATTCGATAAATAATTTTAGCATCATAAGAATCATTAAGGCAATCTTAAGATGTCTCTAAATCCTAAGATTCTAGACATTAAATTATTATCGACAATGATCTCATCATAAGTAAATGCAAAATATTAGAAATTTTTACTTATCTGAATGTCATGGAAAACTCGAATGAATAACACAAACGATACATAACACAATGAATAACACACTCCCAAATTTGATATGTGCATTGCCCTCAATGCATGTAAACACAATAAAAACAAAAATAAAACATAAGATAATGGACAACAATGCTCCCATAATGTTGTTGAAGATGTTATGAAACAATAACTATGTGGATGTATTACTAATGTTGCACAATGACAGCTAGAATGTAAGAAGATGTTGGGAAGCAATGATTATCTATAACTCCAGCTAATGCTGTGAAACAAATGCAATATGTGATGACTATAGTGCAACGATCAATGTGAGAACATTGCCAAAAAAAAGAATATAAAATGAAATTATGAAAGAAAATAAAAGGTAAAACTAATCTAATGTGAAAATTGACTTATTGTAAATAATTAAAAGACTCGGTGGAAAAAAATTTTCTTAGAAAAATGTAAGCAATGTTGTGAGGTAATTCACTACAATAATGTTTCAAACGTTGACGAATAACTTTGAACATGCTTTCATCCCTTAATTTCTTGATCATTAGTGCGCCATGAGGAAATGTTTCAGCTACTTTAAAAGGTTCATATCACTTGGATTTCAACTTCCCTAGGAATTCCTTAAATCTCGATTAAAAGCAATACTTGTTGTCTAGCATGGAATTGTCGTGGCATTATGTGCTTGTCATGCCATCACTTGATTTTGTCTTTATGGATCTTTGCATTCTTATAGGCATTATTGCGAAGTTCTTCCAATTCATTCAAATCATCTTATTTTCCCACCACATCAATGTCAAAATTTAGTTTCTTAAGTGCCCACATTGTCTTGTACTCCAATTCGACTAACAAATGATATGCTTTACCAAGACTAAATGGAATGGATACATACCCAATAAGGTTTTGTATGTTGTACGATATGCCCATAATGCTTCATCCAATAGAAAAGACTAGTCATTCCTAGATGGGTTCACAACATTCTCTAAAATTTGCTTAATTTCATGGTTTGAGACCTCATCTTATCCATTAGACTGGGGATGGTATATTGTAGTAATGCGATGCTTCACCCCATACTACACCAAGGTATTAGCAATCTACTTACATTTAAAATAAGATCCCTCATCACTAATAAAATCTCTTGGTGTTCAAAAGCGAGTAAAGATGTTCTTGTGAAAGAATTTTAAAACTGATTTAACATCATTTATAGGTAATTCTACAAATTTAATCCATTTGGAGACATAGTCCACAACAACAAGAATATATAGATTACCAAATGATGATGGGTATGGTCCCATGAAGTCTAATCCCTAATCATAGAACAACTTGATTTCCAGTATTAGTTGTATTGTCATTTCATTACGGTGAGAAATGTTACCATTATGTTGATAGCGGTCATAATGCTTGACGAATTCATTAGCATCTTTAAATAGAGTTGGCCAAAAGAAGTTGCATTGAAGCAATTTGGCACAATGTGCATCCCTCCAAAGTGACCACTGTAGGGCGTATTATGACAATGATGTAGGATACACTGTCTCGTATTCCAAAATACATGACCTCACAATTTGATCATTGTGTTGTTTGAAAAAATAAGACTCATCCCAATGATAAAATGACATCTCTCAAAAACTTCTTTTTCCTTTGTGGTTAAGGTCTGCTGGCAACAATCCACTCACCAAGTAGTTTACAATGTCTACATATCAGGGTAATGCTTCAATAACAAGAAGTCTATATGAAAAATGTTGGGAATCAAAAGTTTACTACCATCCTCACACTATGATTCTAAACGAGACAAACGATCATCCACTTAATTTTCAGAACCCTTATTATCTCTAATCTCAACATCAACTCTTATAGTAGCAACACTCATCGCATAATATTGATTTAGTGTTTTTCTTTGTAAATAAAATTTTCAATACTGAGTGATCTGTGTAAACAATTACCTTTGTTCCATCAAGGTAAGATTTGAATTTATCAAATGCAAACACAACAACAAGAAATTCCTTCTTGGTTGTTGTGTAGTTTGTTTAAGCATAGTTTAAGGTTCTCTTAGTATAATGTATGGCATGTAAGATTTTATTATATCGTTGCCCCATCATTTCTTTAACAACTTGATTTCCTGATCATATGCATCATACATTAGTTCAAAAGGAAAATTCCAATCTTGTGCGATAATAACGAGAGGATTCACTAACTTTCGCTTGATTGTTTCAAAGAACTCAATGGATTTAGTATCAAGGAAAAATTTCATGTTTTGCTCCAGCAATGAGCAAAGCAATCTAGCAGTCTTTAAAAAATCCTTGATGAATCTTCGATAGAAACCAACATGGCATAGGAAACTTCTTATCTCCTTGACATTGGTGGGAGTTGATAACTTTTCAATGACTTCAACTTTGGTTTTACCCTCCTCAATTCCATGGTGCAAAATACAATGCCCCGGCACTATGCCATTATTTACCATAAAGTGACATTTCTTCCAACTAAGCATAAGATTGGTTTATTTACATTGTTTTATAACATTTTCTAGGTTAACAAGGCACTGATCAAAGCTTTAGCTACAGAAAAAAAATTCAACCATGAATATCTCAAGGAAATCTTCAATCATGTAAAAAAATATGGCCATCATACAATGTTGAAACGTTGTTGGAGCATTGCACATACCAAAAGCCATCATTCTAAAAGAAAATGTACTATAAGGGTATGTAAATATAGTTTTCTCTTAGTCTTCAAGTGTAATTTCTATCTAACTGTAGCTACTATAACCATCAAGGAAGTAATAGAATGCTTTTCCAACAAGTCTATCCAATATCTGGTCAATGAACAACAATGAAAATTGATCATTTCTTGTTGCTTTATTCAACTTTCTATAGTTCATACAAATATACAAACCAGTCGTACTGCGAGTCGTAATTAACTCATTTTTCTCATTAGAAACAATGATGATGCTACCCTTATTTGGCACGCATTGAACTAGGATCACCTAATTGCTATAAAAAAATAGGATAATGATTCCAACATCTAGCCACTTAATGATTTCCTTTCTAACAACTTTCTTTATAATAGGGTTCAACCTCTTTTGCTACTCAACTGAATTACTGCTTGAATCTTCTAGCAATATCTTGTGCATACAAAATGATAGACTAATACCCTTGATGTCAGCAATGGTCCAAGCAATTGCCTTCTTATGATGGTTCATAACACTGAACAATTTTTTCTCCTATGATGCTTCGAGCTTTGCTGTAACAATAGCATGTATAGTCTTGTCTTCCCTAAGAAATGCATACTTCAAATAATTGGGAAGAGGTTTTAATTAAAGGATGAGTGGCTCTTCAATTGAGAGACGAGGAAACTCGGATAGGTCTATTAGAAAGATATAATGACTCAAAATGATATGTGTACTTCACTTCTACCTCAAAAATCTCATTTTTTCCCTTGTATTCATCTATTGTCACAACATTATTAGTAACAACATCAATGTTGTGGCATTCATCCCATTGCTCATACACAAAATCATCAATAATTTAAATAGCATGACACTAAGCATTGTCTTCCTCATATAAAACTTTCTTCGAAACATTGAAATTAATGTGCTCATTATTTATATGCATAATAAGTTCTCCCTTTTCAATGTGATTAACGCTCAACCTATAGCAAGGAATAGACGAATAAGTATAATTGATATATCATTTTCAGCTTTACAATCTAGAATAATGAAATCTGCAGGAAAAATAAATTAGTACACTTAGATTAGGAAATTATCTATTGTGCCCTCGGGGTGAATAATGGATTAATTAGCGAGTTGTAGTGTCACAATAGTAGGTCTTTCTTCTCCAATGCTAAATTTCCTAAAAATAGATAAAGACATTAAGTTAATATCGACACCTAAATCACACAGTGCTTTACCTACAAATCGATCACCAATAACGCAATGGATAATAAAACTCCCTTAAGCATTTAATTTTGGTGGCAATATAATAACTCTCCAAAAGAGTTATTATTTATGACATTTTTCCTTAGGTTTATGTTTGTACTTTAGCATATTATGTTCATTTATAGTGTTTTCAGTTTATTTTACATTAAATGCATTGAAGCGAGTGAGTTGGTAATTCTTGGACTAATTATGATATTGTACCCTGATACTGTGACATTCTCTGATATTGAAAATGTTGTTGTAAGTTGTTGTGAGACAAGATTATTGGGTTGTTGCTGTAACAATCGATGTACGGGTAAAAAGTTATTGACAACTATAAAGAATCCTATTATGGAAATAATTGAAAAGAATAAAGAAGTCTTAATGGAAAAGAAGTCTCAATTTAATACAAGCTTAAACTCTACTTTTTAGGGTTTTTAATTATTATATAAAAGAAGTTACATCACTTAGTTAAAGCGAGATTTTTAGGATTTTATTTTATTCTTTTCTTTCTTCACCATCAACCATATCTGTTTAGGAAACTTTGGGGAAAAGCATCAGCTGGACGTGAAGGCAAAGTCATTGCATCGAGAGGGTGGTGATTGGTGATCGACGAGAACATCAATGAAAACAACGATAAAATGAATCTGAGAGAGGGATTTTGTTTTTGTTAAGTTGAAATAATCTTTAATTTGTGTGGGATTTGTTAAACCTTGGACGCTTATGTTTTTAAATATATTTTATGAATTTCATATTTAATTAACTCGATTTTATTAAGACTTTTAGTATAGAGATATATAATTGCCCGATACATTGAATCGAGAGGTGAGTGGCATTGTGTGAGCATTTCATCAAGAGGTTAGTGTTATTGTCGAAGCATCAGTTATTACGAAAGCAACATTTCAGTATAGAGAAATATAGATGACTGACTGTCTTAGCATATTTAGTAAATTTACATGAGTGGGTATAGAGATATAACACTGTTGTGAGTTTCTGACTAAAGTCATCGAGACAGGAGAACCTGCTAAGTTAATGCTAAATACATCGATCTTATTGATGTGACAACGTTAATTCATGATTGGGGTTTAACTTTCCCACAATCTTTTACTTGAGCTGATCCACTGCTTTCATTGCCACTATTGGATTCCCTTCATCCCTTTATATTTTCATTGCTTTGTTTACAACACCATCTATACAATTTTGTTATTTTACTTAATGTTATGACAATTCTTTGAGTAATACTAGTCTTTTTGGATACGATACTCGATGCATTAATTTTCATCCACTTTATTACTTGATAGGATATTGTATTCTTGCACTGAATGTTGTTATATTTTTCAAAGCATTAGGTTTTATATGCTGTTGTCGGGGGCTAGTGCATTACTTTTAGAATTGTCTCTTTACTAATATAGTTTTAATTTTTATTTTGTAGGTAGATTTTAACAAGTTGTTGATGAAGTATAACTCAAAGAAATAACCAATAGAGAGAGATCAACATCAAAAGGAGCAATTAGGACACAATTCTAGATTGATTCCACATTTACAAAATATTTCTATGCGACCAAATTACCACAACATTGATGACAGAAATAAGCTGATCTGAGAACATGTTATGCCCACATTGGATGATTTAAACCTTCAGATTGTTCAACCGGCCATTCATGTTACCCACTTTAAGTTGAAGTCGGTGATCTTCCAAATGTTGTAACCAATGGGGCAATATAGTGAGATGCATACTGAGAACCCTCGAGCACATTTGAGAGCATTTATGGAAGTGTGTGATTCATTCATACAACAAGGAGTTCCCAAAGAGGCCTTGAAGCTAAAATTATTTCCTTATATCTTCGCGACAAAGCCAAGTCACGGCTCAACTCGCTGCAACTTGGTACTATAACATCATGGAATCAACTTGCCCAAAAGTTCTTATCGTGATTTAACCTTCTCAACTTGAATACAAGATTAAGGAATGATATCAAATCTTTCAAGAAATTGGAGGATGAAAACTTATATGAAGCATGAGAGAAGTTTAAAGATTTGTTGCAGAAATGTACAATGCATGGTTTCCAGTATTGGACACAAATCGAAATAGTTTACGATAGCTTGGACATGCAAACAATGATGGTTGTGGACACATCAACCAATGGAGCATTACTAATTACTAGACAAATCTTACAATAAGGATGACAATATCCTTTAGAGGATATCTGTAATATCTCAAATTTTGGACTGGTGACTCGAATGTAAAATTTGAAAGTTTGGAGACTAAAGTGTAAAGTTGTAAAGTTTAAGTACTAAAAATGTAAATTTTCAAAAGTTAAATTTTGGATTTGTGAATTAGTAGTTTAGCTCAAGACAATTAGTTTAGTGGGTTTTTATAATTTTGATCTGGAGTTTGTATAAAAGTTTATTAAATGATAAAGATATACATATTATTCGAATAACCGGATCGAATCGAAAGGTTACAAAATTTGAAGGAAGGTAGATTTGGGTTGGAAAAATTATATGGATATTTTTAATTAGTGTAATTTAAGTTGGATTGGTAGAATTTGGTGAGAATTGCACTATAAAGTGAGATAGTGCAATTTATTGACTAAAATGAAATTTTGGAAAATTAGAGGGTCAAAGAGAAAATTTTAGAGATGATATTTTTATGGTTATTTAATAATATTAAATTAGTGATAATTTAGTGGCATGGGTGTAATTTTGGGAATTTATTAATGCCAATTTAATATTTTTACCCAAAATGAATAAAAATTATTTTTTAATTGATTTTAAAGGCTAATTAAGAGATATTTGGTTAGAAATGTGTAGAAATACGCTTTATCCTCCATCAAGCTGCCGAACCTCCATAACCAAAGGGTAAGTTTGCTTTTTCTTCAATTTTGGTCCATTTTAATTAGATTTTGGACTAAAGTTTGAAATATAAAAATAATCCTCATTAAATTCTCTATAATTTGGTGTAATTATTTCATGGTTTTATGCTTGAATGGTGAAATTTGTGATTTTGGTGGATGAAGGGGAGTTGAGAATTTACTGAAATTAAGTTTGATTTTGATATTAGGAGTATTATAGAGTTATAATTAAGCATGAAAGTTGAATAAAAATTGTTAAGGGATTGGTTTGGTGATTTGACTATTGATGGAAATGTTAGAAACTTGGTTGAGTTTGATTTGTTTTGCTTTGAATTTGATTAGAATGGATTATAAATGGTGCAATATGGCTGAAATTGTGATTGAATCAAAATGGATACCATTATGGAAGTTATTGAAAAGTTAAGGTCCTATGCTGAAATTTAATATCAGAACAGTTAATTGGACTGATTTGGAAGAGTTTATAAGTCTAGGAACTCAATTGTAAGTTGAAGGAAGTTGTTGGTGAGATGGTGAAGTTGTTAGAGACATTTTACAAATTTTAGGAAATTTAAAGGATATAGATGCAAGCTTTGGAAAATTTGGATGCAATGCTGGAAATTTTAGTTAAAATTTGTGATTGATTTGCAATTATGTAAAGGTACATGTATTGAATTGAATATATTTTTACAATTCTGGAAAGTTTAGGATTGACTTGAATAAGTAAAAATGACAAGGGATCAAGATGCAAGTTGTAGGAAGTATAGAAGAAATTAAGGATGCAAAGTAATAAGAACTGTTTAGATTTTTGAATATGACAGTAAGTTTGAAAAATCACTAGAAATTCTATAAAAATTATTTGGAGGTTATATTTATATTTATATTTTTTTGTTCGTATATCAATCTAGTTTTGTTTAAAACAAACGGTGATCGATTTCAAATTGTATAATGAAATATATGACTTTTTTTAATCAATGATAGGTTAGAAAACTGACAACAAATTCTGCTCAAAACAGATTCTGGAAATTGAATTAGAAAATTCACTATAAATTTGTTGAAAACATTTTGATGTTTCAATATAACAAATAAAGTACTATTGAATTTTAAGATTTTATATTCGATTCAAAATTTTATATTCGATTAAATTATTCGAATATAAAAAAATATTACACAAAGTTTTCAAATGTCAATTTTAATCCTTACTTAAGTGTAAAATTATGTTTTAATCTTAAAATATTTTTGAAATAATTTTTACAAAGTATTTCGAACCATAATCAAACCAAAAATAAGTTTTATAAAGGGATATACCGATACACTCCTGTATGTACCGATACACCCATATTTTGAATGTAATATGGATACCGATACACAGCTGATGTACCGATACACTCCAGGCTCCGAGAAACATCGAATGTAATTAGTGTACCGATACCCCTAGGGCGTACCGATACACTTGGTCAAATAATGGTCGAAATATTTGAATTTTACACTGAGTGTACCAATACCCTTTGATAGTGTACCGATACACCTACACTCCTACAGATTTTTTAAATTGTATTCACACCATAACGACTCTATTGACTTCACCAATGATCCCCAACGTTCAGAAGTGATCCAAGCTGTATTTAAACAAGTCTTAAAGCCATTGATCAAAAACAAGAAACAAGAATTGAGAGAGAATAAAAGAGAAAGCCTTAAAATTATCGTTTGAGCATTTCAAGCCTATTTTCATTCAATATTCATTTTGCTTTCGAGAAAACCATTTGTGCTCAATTGTATTCATTCTTGAGTGTTCTTTCTTTGTTCTAGAATTGTGCAAACAATTTACCTTGTGAGGTTTTTCTGTAAAGATTGCAAATTTGTAATTTTTATTTTGTGTTCTCAAGAATTTGGGGTATAATTCTTGAGGGAGTTATAATGTTACTCTTTGTCCTCAAAAGAAAGACAAATTAGTGAATTTGTGGAAAATCCTTAGTGTGGATAGCTAAGGTAGTGAACGTAGACTTTGGTTGAGAAAGTCAAACCACTTTAAATTGTTGTGCAAATGTTTTTAATTTTATGTCGAAGCTTCCACCAAAATTTTTATTGCCAATTCACCCCCTCTTAGCTATTTTGTCGATTGATTAACTCAACAATTGGTATTAGAGCCACACTCATGTGAATAACCACCTCTTGAGTCGATTCATGAAGAGTTATATTGATATTCAATTCATCAATGGCCTCCACATCAAACTTCGACTTCGTTCTTGATTCTCAGCCCGTCAACAAGCCTCCTTTCTTCAATAGAGCTAACTATGCTTATTGGAAGAATATGATGAGTACTTCATTCAGGCTAGTGACATGGGAGCATGGAAAATCGTTGTGAACGGATACCCGAACCATCCACACATCCAAATTTGTGGAATGAAGAAGAGACGATAATGTTCCAGCTCAACTAAAAAGTCATCCATATTCTATTTTGTCTCTTGGACCAGATGAATACGGGAGAGTTTCATCTTGTACAACTGCTAAGGATATATGGGATAAACTACGAGTCACTCATGAAGGCACCAATGAGGTAAAAGAATCTAAAATCAGTCTTCTAACTCATAGCTATGAAAATTTTAGGATGAAACCAGATGAAGACATCAAAGCTATGACGAATAGATTTTTCGTGATTGTCAATGGTCTCAAGGCATATGGAGAGATCATTCCAAACGAGAAGCTTGTGAGGAAGATAATTTATTCTCTTCCAAAAGCTTGGCAATCAAAGAAGACAGTGATCATCGAAGCTAAAAACTTAAAATCCTTAACTCTCGATGAGATCATTGGTTCTCTCCTCACGCATGAAATGATGATCCAAGATGAGGTAGACCTCGAGAAGAAGGACGAGACAAAGAATGAGATGAATAAAAATAAGAACGTTGGAGTTGCTCTCAAATCCACAAAAGATGAGAGTGATTTTGATGATGATGACGATGATGAAGAAATTACATTATTTGCTAAACGGTTCAAAAAATTAATGAAGCCCAATAGAGGAAGATAATTCAAAAGAAATTAAGGCTTCAAGAATGAACCAAAGGAGAAGGACCCTATCATTTGCTATAAATGCGAAAAGCACGGGCATGTCAAATACAATTGCCCATAATTAAAGAAGAAGGGTCAATCAAAGAAGATGCACAAGGAACACGTAGCTACTTGGAGTGATGATGATGAATCATCAAATGAAGAGGAACAAGAAGTAGCAAACTTGTGCTTGATGGCCTTCGGGGAGGATTCTCAGGTAACCTTTAACTCATCTGATTTAGAAGATTATTCTTTTGATGAGTTATTAGATGAATATACTGGGTTGGCTTCAGATTATGAGAAATTATTTTCGAAATACAAGAAAGATATTTCAAAATTGAAAAATGAAAATAATCTCATATCCAAGACCAACAATGATCTTGATAGTAAAATTAATGAATTGCAAATCAACATCAAAGATTTTGAAAAGAAAAATTCTGATTTGCATAATTTACTTTCAAAAGTCAACGATGATCATCATAAAAAAATTGATGATCTTAAAGCTTCTTTTGATAAAGTTGGAACAAAACGTTTTGAAAAATGTGAAAGTTCAAAATCCAACTATATTAGAAAAAGCTTTAAAAACTACAATCATAGAGGTCCCCAAAGAACCTCTAATGGTAAAATCATTAGAAGTATATGGGTTCCTAAAGAAATAATTACTACTAAAGATAAGGATAGGATATCCTACATAATGGATACCCAAAGGGACTAGGATTTTAGGGACTAATGAATATGGACCCAAAAGAATTGGGTACCAAAAATAAAAATCAATCTATGTTTGTAGGAAAATGAGCATTGTTACAAGGCACAAATACAAGTTCAAATTCATGGTTAATTGATAGTGGATACTCAAGACACATGACCGGAGACAAGAACCAGTTTATAGAGCTTAATGAAAAAAATGGAGGAGTGGTAACCTTTGGTGACAATAAAAAAGGTTATATTGAAGGTATAGATACTATAGATAATACCTCTTCCATACTAATAGAAAAAGTATTATATGTTAATGGCTTAAAGGATAATCTACTGAGTATTAGTCAATTATGCAATAAAGGATACAATGTCTTATTTGAATCAAATGGTTATAAAGTAATCGACATTGCTTCTAATCAGATTATGCTTATTGGTCATAGAATAGGAAACATATACATGACTCATTTAGATTC